TTTTCTTAGCATTGCTTTTGTTAAGAGGATTCTGCAACTGTCTTTGGTAACTTTGCCATGAATCAAATGGTTGCTGGGTCTTAGTTCCCGATCTATTTCATTACAATGGTCTGTGTGCCTGGTTTATGTCAGTAACGTGCTGTTTTTGTTACTATGTCTCTTTAGTGTTTTTATAAATGTATTCTTCTTTTATACAATACATCCCAGACACAGACACATTTTCCTGTCATGGCATTTATTTGTGTATTTTTTATTTATTTGCTTTTTTGAGATAGGGTTTCTTTCTTTTTAGCTGTAAAGTTCTTTTTAAATATATATTTAATATATGCATATATATATATATATGAGTGCTTGTCTGCATACCAGAAGATGGCATTAGATCTCATTATAGATCCCATTATAAATGAGTCACTGTATGGTTGGTTGCTGGGAACTGAACTCAGGACCTCTGGAAGAGCAGCCAGCAGCCAGTGCTCTTAACCTCTGAGCCATCTCTCCAGCCCTCTGTTGTGTATTTTTAAGTGAGGAATTATGATGCTGGACATGTTGCCCGTTACACTGAGGATTGGGTACAAAAGTCACCATAGGAAAACCAGTAATTGGGCTAGTAGATGGTGCAATAGGTAAAAGCATGCATACTGCTAAGCCTGACACTCTAAGTTCAATCCCTGGATCCACATAGTGGGAAGAGAACACCCACTCCTGCAAGCTGCCCTTAGGAGACCTGGAGAGGTGGCGCATACCTCAAAAGCACATACCACTCTTCCAGAGGACTTGGGTTTGGTTCCTAGAACCCACGTGGCAACTAGCAACTGTTAACAACTCTAGTTCCAGGGAATCCGATGTCCTCCTCTGCCTTCTATGGGCACCAGGCACACACATGGCACACACACTTCCATACATGTAAGTAAAACATTCATACACATAAGATAATAAAAAATAAATAAAAACTGGGAGCCAGAGAGAAGACAGCCCAGCAGTTAAAAGCACCTACGTTTCTCCCAGAGGACCAGAATTCAGTTCCTAGCTCCCATGTCCATCATCGGTCACACCTGCCTAGAATTCTAGCTCTACGGATCTAAGGTCGGTCCTTTGTAGGGTCTTCATAGGCACACCCACACCCATAAAAATTAAAACAAAAATAATTTTTAAAAATAAAAAAACCAGCTGGCCAGTGGTATACACCTTTAATCTCTGCACTCGGGAGGCAGAGGCAGGCAGATCTGAATTCTAGGCCAGCCTGGTCTACAGAGTGAGTTCCAGAACAGCCAGGGCTACACAGAGAAATCATATCTCAAAAAACAATGACTTCTTGAATTTTGTATGCAAATGTATGGAAATAGAAAACACTATCCTGAGTGAGGTAAGCCAGACCCAAAAAGAGGAACATGGGATGTACTCACTCATATTTGGTTTCTAGCCATAAATAAAGGACATTGAGTCTATAATTCGTGATCCTAGAGAAGCTAAATAAGGTGAACCCAAAGAAAAACATATAGGCATCCTCTTGAATATTAACCTTCATCAGGTGATAAAAGGAGACAGAGACAGAGACCCACATTGGAGCACCGGACAGAAATCTCAAGGTCCAAATCAGAAGGAGAGAGAGCACGAGCAAGGAACTCAGGACCGCGAGGGGTGCACCCACACACTGAGACAATGGGGATGTTCTATCGGGAACTCACCAAGGCCAGCTGGCCTGTGTCTGAAAAAGC